CTTGAAGCTTCAAAGCTTGCATCAGCCTGGCCCTGCCTTTGCCTTGGCCATGTTCAAGAACATCAAGGCTGCACAGCTGCCAGAAGGCTTGAAGAGCAAGCTTGTGCTCCAAGTTGAGAAGAGTTGCTCTGAATCTTCAGCTGGCCCTTTGAGGGTCAATTGTGCACCGCAGTCAATGGCTGCCCCATGGAACTACATGAGCACCAGTGAGTGGGCAAAACTGTTGCAAGTCAGCACCATGGAGGCAGTGCAGGTGATTGTGGCCAGGATGAGGAAGGCTGGAATCAAGTCCCTCAAGGAGGACACCAAGAAGGGCATTGTGTCCATGCTGATCTACTTGGAGACTGCCAAGTCTAAGCCAGTACCTCCTCCTGGTGAAATCTACCAGCTAGCAATCTATGTGAAAGACTCCTTTCTTGCTTGTGGGCAAGAGGCATTGGTTGCAGGGCATGCCACCTACCCTCAGCGCCCCACAGATGTTGGCCCTGCGCCTTGGCTGCCTTTCATGCCAGCAGAAGCTAGGCCATTTGATAAACAATGCCTTTGTTTGAAACAGCTGAGGATTTCACATCTGCAGTCTACAGTGTGGATGACCAGCCTATTCAGATTGATCTCCAGACCACGGCTGCAATAGTAGCTTTGTCCAGGCAGGTGTGTGTAAGATCTACAAGCAGCAAATGCTGAGGTCCAAGACACCAAGTTCAGGCTCTTTGTCAAGCCCTCAGAGCACTGTTGGCAAGACCGATGCCAATCCTGGAAGCCTCATGGAGCAAGCCATGCATGGCTTGGCAATGCTTTTCCACAAGGCCAAGGAAATGGATGCATCTGCCCCAGTGCACATCCAGATCCAGAAGCCAAGTGATGCCCAGCCAAAGAGCTACAGCCAGAAGGCTCCACCTGCAGTTTGTGACCAAGAGCCAGGCAGCTCAAAGGAGGATTCTGTCCCTGAGAAGCCTTTGCTTGTCCAAGCTAGAGAGCTTGGAGAAAAAAGCTCACCTGATGGCAGCCGCCCTGGCAAAAGCTTGGAAGACTATGAACTGGATGCATACAAGAAGCTTGAATCCAAAAAGGGTGGCAAACTTTTAAAAAGGCCAGCTTCCAAGAGCCAGCCAGCCAAAAAGGCTAAAGCGAAACCCACTTGTGCAAAGAAGCAATCAGCTTCTTCAGGTTGGCCAGAGAAAGTTGTTTATGGCTGTATCAGGTGCAGAGGCTCCTGCAATGGCTGTGACACTTGTAGAAAGCCTAGATTTCGTTGAAATTACCTGGAAGGGCAGCTTGGGTCCAATGGGCCAGGGAGAATGGCAAGCTTTGAGTCCACTGTTCATGGCAAGTTTGTGCCTCATAGCAGTCACAAAGACTTGTTGCTGAGCAAGGCTTGCTGTTGCCCGTTGCTTGTTGCTGGGGAAGAAGAAGCTGCTCAGCTGGCTTCTTGCTTTGCTGCCAATGGGGGCGTCCAGGTGTGGAAAAAGCACATTGCCAGACCATGCTTGCACACATGCACCTTCCCTGTGCAATTTGCTGTGGAGAGCATAGGCATTGCACCAAGCCAAACTTGTAGCTGTAGGTAGCATGGCTACACACAGCTAGATTTCATGGCTGCTACAGGCAGCCTTTGTGGCTGGCAGCCTTCCTTGGCTGGCCATATAGCCTTGTGGCTGGAAGCCTACATCATTGTGGCAGAAAGCAGTAGGGCCTAAATGCCTTCCCTTAATCCTTGCAAAGCAGGTAATGCTGTAAGTAGCCTTCATGGCTGTAAGTAGGCTTGTGGCTGTGAGAAGCCTTCATGGCTGTAAGTTGCCTTCGTGAGAGTAAACAAAGCCTTTGTGGCTGTGTAGCTGTTTATGCCACTATAGGGTTTTCATGCAAGCAAATAGCCTTTCTGTTGGATGAATGGCACTGGCTGCTGCAAGTAGCATGCATTGCACCGAGTTGCCAGAGCATGTTGGCTTAGAAGGACAGTATGGCTGTATTTGGTTTATAGAGCAAGCTGCATCCCAGCACATGCCCTTGGCAACCTTTTTAATTTCTCCACAGTTGTAGGCCCCAAGCTATCCATGCATGCTGCGCGCACCCCTTTCAGGGCCCTTATAAAGCAGTGTAAATCCCATGGTAAGAAAGCACTGAACTTTGTGCCTTGCTTTGTAGGGGGCCATGTCAGACAGAGCCCAAAAGTTGCAAAAGCTGCACCACCTGAGGGACTCAGCCCCTTTTGTGTCCAAGTCTGCTCTGTCATCCATTTTGGACCATGTCAAGGAGCAAGGGGCTCCAAGCATATGAGAGAGGCCACAAGGAACTTGCTTGGGCAAGCAAACGCCTATGGGCCTTTGATACTGCAAGATGAATTTGCTTGCCTGCAAGGCAACCCTGTAAAGATCAGCTACCTGAACTTCTTGTCCTTCTTGCGCTTCTGCTACAAGAGTGGTGGCTCTTTGCATCAGCAGCTCTGCAATATTACAGAGCCTTTGGGCTTGCTGGTGTACACTGATGAGATTGTGCCTGGCAACCCATTAGCAAACCACCCAAGCAGGAAATGCTGGTGCGTTTACATTTCCATCAAACAGCTTAACCACCACTTGCAATCTGAAGATGCTTGGGTCACTGTCTGCTGTGTAAGGTCTTCAGTTGTACAGCAACTTGCAGGCCACATGAGCCAGCTCATCAAGCAAATACTCTTATCAATCTTCAGAACCCCATGGGCTGAAGTGGAGAGCCATGGCATCTTGCTCCAAGAGCCCCCAAGCTCTGCCAAGCAGCACAGCAGATTCAGGTGCTGTTTGTCCTTCTTCATCCAAGATGGTGCTGCTCACAAGTATGTTTGGTCAGTGAAAGGAGACAGTGGTTCTCGCTTTTGCTGCTTGTGCAAAAATGTATTCAGCACATCTGACCAAGAGGAAGGAATCAGTGAGGTTTCAAAGTTTGCAGACTGGACCTAGCAACAAGCCAAGAAATCTTTAGCTCTCGGGATAGGATGGCTGCAAGGCAAGCTTGCAGTAACCAGCAGCAGTGGAAGTTGTGGCAGCAAGCAGCAGGCATATCTTTCAGCCCTGAAGCCATGCTGGCTTGTCTTCAGCTCAGGTCGGTTGTGGACCCTGTGAAGCAGTTTGTTCATGACTGGATGCACTGTTTGTGTTCCAATGGCATAATTTCACTGGGTATCTTCTTCATCCTTGAAGAGATGGACTGCTGGAAGGAATTTGGCAACTATTCTTCTTGCTGGGCACTCCCTGCCAGCTTTGGCAACATCAAGGTGGCACCTTTGTTTGAAGCCAAGAGGGTGGAAAAGCACAAGAGGTCCATGAAGTTCAATTCCACTGCATCCGAGCTGCTTACTGTCCTCCCCATACTGGTGCATTTTTGCCAAAATGTGTGCAAGGAGGCATGCATAAAGCAAGTTGAGTGCCTAGCTTCCTTGCTATACTTGGTGGAGCTGCTGCAATCCACCTGGTGCACTTCAATTTCCTGGCAGCAAATACAGCATGCAGCTGAAGAAGTTCTCAGACTATGGATTCAAGCTGGCTGGAGAGACAATGTGATGAAAAAGCACCATTGGCTGCTGCACCTAAGCTCTGCCTTCAAGCAGCATGGTATGATTGTCAACTGCTTCTGCATGGAAAGAAAGAACAAAACATTGTCCAGATTCAGCAATCCTGTGCAGAATACAGCTTACTTTGAGCAAGCTGTGATGGAAGACGTTGTTGGCCATGAGCTTCTCAAACTGAGCAAGGCCAATGTCTTTTTGCCCAGCTATGTGCTGGAAAAGCCTACTGCCTTGCCTGCCAAGCTCTTGTGGATTGCCCAACAGATCTGGCCCTTGGGCATGCTTAGCCAAGACTTTGCAGCGAGCAAAGCTGCCAGGCTGAAGTTTGGAAGTTGTAGTGCTGGCGATGTTGTTTTGTACCAAAGCCACAGTTCCAAAGCAAAGTGGATGTGTGGGCAGTTGGAGTGCTTTGTAGCTTGTGGTGTGCAGGCATGTGCTGTCCTGCGACCCTTTGAATTTGAAAGTGCAGGGCCTTCTATGGCCCATGCTTTGTGGAAGCCAAATGGCTCTTCACTGCTAGCAGTGCCTTTGCAAGATGTTTTGGTGGCTGTCACCCATGTTCAAGGCAGAGATGGCATGACCACCCTGGTACCACTGCCTTACAGGTGAAAATGCACTGGAGCCCTTGTCAGCTGTTGGTTGCTTGCTGCCATGGCATGGGCATGCACCAGCCAAGCCTGATGGCTACTTGGAGTGGCAGGTGCAGATTGATTTGCGCAAGATTTGCAAATTGAAGCCTTGAGGCTGCTGAACAAAGCCTTGGTGGCTGGCAACTATAGAAGCCAGTGTTGGCTCTTATGCATGTCCTCTGGCCTGTTTTTGACATCAAAAAATCATGAAAACATGCTTAAAAACACATGCAAATCGTATATTTTTGGGGGTTATAACTAGTTATAACTTTTAGCATAACTAGTTATAACCCTTGATAATTTGCAGCCTAAACATCATAATCAACTTAACCTGTTAGTAAGCCACCGGCCCATCTAAGCACACGAACACACGCACACACGCACACACGCACACACGCACACACGCACACACGCACGCACGCACGCGCGCACGCACACGCGCACGCACACGGACACGCACACGCACACGCACACGTGCACGCGCACGCGCACGCGCACGCACACACACACACACAGACACACACCCGAGGGCACGTGCACGGGTGCGGGCACGGGCACTGGCACAGGCACAGGCATTCGCGCGCGCACGAACGCACGCACGCACGCACGCACGCACGCACGCGAACACGCGAACACGCATGCACGCACGGCACCGCACCGCACCGCACCGCACCGCACGGCACCGCACCGCGCCGCATCGCACGGCACCGCAAGGCACGGCACGCACGCACGCACGCACGGACGCACCCACACACACACACATACACATACAGAATCAGAGGATGAAGACTCTGGCTGCTTTTAGATATCTCCCACTAGCCGTAGACTCGCGCCTTGAAGACGTCTTGCAAGATGTCCTTGGCCGGGTCTCCCTTGCCGCTGGCCACCGTGACATACTTGCCATCCGTGCTGTAGTGCCTCACGCGTGCGGTACCACTGCGCTGGGAAATGGCCCGTCCGAGCAAACAAAATCACGAGCTGTGTGAAAGCCCTGGCCCCTTTGAGTAGCCACCAAACTGTGCAAGGCTCGAAACAAATATCAAACTCTCATTAGACTACCGGCGTGTTCCCAACCCAATAGCGCGGTCGTTGCAAGCCATCGTGACTCACATTTCTGGCTGTTGGGCAGCAGAAAGCTTGAGTGTGACAATCCAAACCGAGCGCTAGTCAGAGCAGAGAGTGACCATGTCATAGAACAAAACATCTCCAACTCGAGCCAAGCTGCAGGAAGCCAGTGCCACCAGGCACTGGGTTTGCGTCGGAGCGGGGCTTGTACCTGGTTGACATCAGCTGTCGGGGGTTGGGAGACGCAACAGGTTGACCTGGTCAAGGCTTAGCGAAGATGCCTGCGAACAGGCACTCTGCATCAGGTACACAACCATTCTGTCTCATTACATCCGCAGAACGTGAAAATTGCGGGGTCGCGAAAGCGAGGTTGCGAGTACGGTTGTGCTTAGGGTTGAGCCCGTTGCTGCAGTGTGAGGCACTTCCTTACCTCTTCAAAGTTCGCCGCAAGGGATCTTTGCTACGTTCTGAATTGTGCAGCAATTACTTCCTGCTCGAAAACATCTGAATAGCATACTAGGGGCATGTTTGCGCAATTGGCATGTGTTTGTCACGGCTCGCAAAAGCAGAATCATTTCGCGCCGTTGTCGCTGCTACTGCCGCTGCTCTCGCTGTTCCTGAGCACAGCAGCTCAAGCTTTCCATAGCCCGGAATTTCAAAACGGCAAACAAATCTTCAGCACCCTCTCGTGGCCCGGTCGCGCACTTGTCCGCATCGCTGAAGCCAGTGGTTTCCTCAGATGCTCCGCGGACAGCAGGCTTGCATTATCAACATTCCAATGGCCTAGGCGAGCAGTGCTTATTCAACAATACCACCACCAATGAAATATGTTCTCTCGTCTACAATTCAGCTGAATGCCACAGGTACGAAATCTCATCTTTTGTGATTCATGACAGTTGATTCGCTATCAGTTTGAATTGTTACTTTGAGCCGCCCAAAACTACACGGTTGAACGTGAAGGTGGTGGCCAGCAAATGTGCAATGTGCCGAAACACATACTGCATAGATGTTGTTGCTGAATTTGGCCTGTCCCCAATGCAGCAACTGAACGCGGCATTCGCACTGCCCATTTGCAAGCTCGTGGAACTGTTTCATTCGCTTCAACCAGCGGACGGCCGCAGTTTTTCATGTCACCATGCAAACCGATCCTTACAGCTGGAGTTTGTCTAAACCATAATTGAACGCTTTGAGGGGCATTGCTTGGAGCCCTCAGCTGGGACAGATCTGAACTCGTCTGAGTGTATACATGATATCATTGATCCCCAAGCGCTGGCCGAATCAACACAAGTTGGCGTTGCCTGGTGGGCACAGTGGAACCCTTGAATCTGTTTCACAATCCACAACATGCGCTTCCAGTTCAGGAGAACATTGCCTTGATGTAGCTGAACGGATTATTGTTTGCGCAATTGAACGTTTGAATGTTATTGCTCCAACATTGCACCAACAACATCACTGTCTTGCAGTAGTGCATCTATAATGTGTTGCGAAATAGAAACATGACATCAAATAACCACTGCCTCCGAATACTTCGATAGAACACTTAAACTACATAGAAAACGCGCCATGTGTAAAGATTGCCTGATGAACACCTCGCTCATTGAAGTGTCGAGGCAATGTGCATCAGTGTACCGAATCAGTGGTCAACATGCGATGAATTCTGGGATATCCTCTGTCCGCAATGATCCTGCTGTGGCAAAGGGCTCAGAACAATTTCTTGGTTGAGCCGGAAGTGGTACGTGGCAACATGCAACTGGTCATGTAAGTTTGTCAACACTCTTAAAGAGCCGAAACAGGGATCCTTACACTATACACCTGAGCATTGCCTTGTAAATGGTGGTTTCCCCATTTATTTTGGTGGAAAAATGTATCGTTTAAGGAGCCCTGCCAAACAAAGACCCTCCGGCCCATCGCCACGGCTCGTGGGCCAGCTGAAGGGTGAGGCGACCTTTCTTGGATGCCTCGAGAAACCGCGTCCCGGGGTGGCGTTATCGAGGCTCAGAAGATAATTTGGCCCAAGCAAAATGGCTGTGGTTGTCAAGAATAGGGTAACCCCAGAATGGGTTGCCCTGGCAAATGGAAACATGGACTATTTTGACCCATACCCAAATGTCTATGGGAGACATCCAGGATTGAACGCCAGCCTCCCAGTTGGTTGCACACTGGCCAAATATCCCCTTAGGATTTGGATTTCCAAATGGAGAACCAGAGGTTAGAAATTATGAAGCGGCTTCCAAATGGCTTGGCAAAGCCTTTGCGGATGTCTACTGGCTCAGGAATGTGTCTACTCCGAAAAAGCCCATTGACTCTGCTGGAAATACTCAGCCAAAAGCATAGGCTCCTTCATTGGCAATTGGAACAGTATCAATCAGTCACAAACACACTCATCACCAGGTCTTCGTGGATGTTGTGCATCTTTGGCTATATGAACTTGCAACCCTGCACTAGGCAGTGCATTAGCTTCTCTAATTGCGTGTGCATGCTTGTTGCATACCCTTGAAAAGTGCAAAGGCAACAGGTGTCGATGCACACAATGCTAGCATAAGCATTTACAGTAAATGAGCCTGAAACGAAACTTCTTCCATCTGGCGCGAGGCCAACGCGCAAAGCCAACAGTCCAGCGATCATGTGAGAGTCATGTCATGTGCACGACACACTGAGTCACTGTGGTTGTGTTCCACCGTCTCCTGAGTTTCCCCCATGTTAATTGCGCTGGTGGGTAAGGTCATGCCCCGGAAAATGGCTCACCCTGGGTCACGTTGTGCCTCATGTGCTATGTTGCAAGGACTAACATGGCATAACATGCATAGCTATGTCCAAAATGAACAAGGAGCTCCAAGAACACTGAATAGCAGAGATATCTCAGCATTATCCAAGCAAAAAGCCCTCCCCGAATCCTTCGAACGTGACTCCATGCAAAGCGGGAGCTGAACACCCCACCCCTGACACGCCTTGCCCTTGTCTGTGATGGGATCCTTGAACCTCAGTCTGCTTCACCCTAGCGCGTGAATCAAGAAAAAAAAACCTGGCACACGTGCCCCAATTTATTATGCATATCTGAAGTGAGGGTTGGTGCATTTCCATTGAAAGCGCCGGACATTGTTTCTATGACCCCTGCATTTGTTTTCTCTGGTCCCTTAGATTGTCGGGAAATAACTATCCCGCGTGCTTGCAATCCGTTGCGAGTACCTACCGGTTGCAGAGCCCAATGTTGGCCGGTATCCTCGTTCCGGCTCCAACTGACTATTGCAGGAGGTGCCCTTGACTATTGCGTGGCTACTCGTGCAGGGCTCCTTGAAGGCTAATAGCTGCGGTGCGTCCGCCTTGTAAGAATTTCCGCCGCAAGGAGCACAAGCAGGCATGACCGGAGCCAGGGCGCCTCCGGTTGGGTTAAAACAGAGAGCAGGCACGACAATAGACCGATGCTAGGCTGGGCAGCAGTCCTAGCCTTAAACTCCAATGCTGTCAGCTTCCCTTCCCGTGGTTGACAGTCCATGTGCATCATGGTCAAATCATCCCGCAGTGATCAAGCCTTGCTACATAACATGGATGGCTTGCAAATCCAACAAAACGGATAAACCCATTGGCAAGTGCATTCTTCTGGTAGTTGTAGCTTTAGTAGGTTTAGTAGGTTTAGTAGTTTTATAGTTTTAGTAGTTGTAGTAGTAGTAGTAGTAGTAGCAGCAGTAGCAGTAGCACGAGCAATAGTAAAGTACTTATACTGCACGCCTGCACCTCCAAATAAATTCACTTCTGGTGTAGTCGGCCAGATGAATTCAAACCTCGTCCACCACCGCGAGATGTACTAAGAGGCGGACACGTCGCGGCTCTCTCCGTTGATAATGATGTCGGAGCACCTTATGAAATCCAAGGGTTCCTGTCCTGCACTTGGCTGAAAGCTGTGGTACTTGACGCTTGTTCACATCTCCAAACTGCTGGTAAAACTAATTCATATGGGTGGGTAGAAGCAAACGTCAGTTTGCGGCTTGGTAGTTCTTCCAGGGTCACCACTGAGCCGCAGGCCTCCCTTTGACTTGGTCCAGGGCTTGTCTAACAACCGGGGCGCTTGAAGGCACACTTGAAGGTGTCCCGGTTCAGCTTCTGGAGCAAGGCCCCTCCGCTGCCGAAGCCGATGTTCTCCTCGGCGCTCGACGCAAATGGCACCAGCTCAGCTCACACCGAATAGCTACAACCGGGGTAAATGTAGAGACCAGGAATCTTCACGAGCTACGTCGTTGCCGGTGATGTCCCTCCACTCGGAAAAATCCAACTCATTCCAACTCCACAAGATCCCGAGGCTCATATTGCTTCAGGCCAACCAAGGTTATGACAACTCCCTCTGAGCGGCCTACATATGGTGTGCCAATTTGGTATCGGAATTGCCAACTGCTGGAAGACTACTCTGGCAGTTCACCTGGCTTGCAACGCCTCAAGCCGTGGAAACTGTTCCCGGCTGACGTGTGTTTCATTATGCACCATTCATGCTGGCTGTAAAGCATGAATATCATTGAATAAGCGAGTAAAACATCTTGGTTTGTGACGGCTGCAGTGTCGCAAGGGAAGTTGTGCCTGCTAGACATCAGCACATTGACTAACAGGCCGTGCGGATCAGAGCCACCCTGCGCGGCATACAGCCTTCTCGGCATGCACCGAAGCTTAGCAGGGTTTGCGTATGAAGGGTGGCAATTGCCGCAGGCGCGCCCGCAGGTTGCACACCCAGTGGCACAAAGCACAGTGATGCACCACAAGCACGGCACTGCGAGTGCGTCTCATCGTCGGGTCAGCCATGCTCTTCAGTCTCTTCATTTCAAGCTTTTCAAGCTGTTGCTCGCGTTCTGAGGCAGGTTGCGGCCAGGGAGGCCGTGGGACCCCGGTCTCATGGCCGATGTGCTTCGCTCTCTGTTCTGCGTTTGCAAGCATGATAGCACAACTAAATGGATCGCGGCCAAATCCCTGTCTTCCTATTTCAAATCTGATCCCTTAGTATTCGCCCGACAACTTTATGGTTTTACATACTAGACTGATTATCTCTTATCATCGTTTGCTTCCTTGTCATTTTACACTCAAGACTACCTCTTAATCTGCCAACCCTGCTTAGGCTTTTATTGGGCTCAGTCAAATGCTTGCCTCATTCGTGTTGCGTGTCCTTCGTTTAATCCACGCTGTTTGTCCATGATTTGCACTCTTCTTCGCTGGCCTCTTCTCTCTGTCTGCCCACGCCACTGTTGAGTCATCAAAAGCTTGTCGTGTGCACTCAGAAGTAGCGCACAATATGCAACCCTCGCAAAAAAACACACACACAGACACACACAGACACACACAGACACACAGACATACAGACACACAGACACACAGACACACAGACACACAGACACACACAGACACACACAGACGCACACAGACACACACAGAAACACACAGACACACACAGACACACACACAGACACACAGACACACACAGACACACACAGACACACACAGACACACACAGACACACACAGACACACACAGACACACACACACACAGACACACACAGACACACACAGACACACACAGACACACACAGACACACACAGACACACACAGACACACACAGACACACACAGACACACACAGACACACACAGACACACACAGACACACACAGACACACACAGACACACACACACAGACACACAGAGACACACAGAGACACACAGAGACACACAGACACACACAGAGACACACAGAGACACACAGACACACACAGACACACACACAGAGACACACACAGAGACACACACAGAGACACACACAGAGACACACACAGACACACACAGACACACACAGACACACACAGACACACACAGAGACACACACAGAGACACACACAGAGACACACACAGAGACACACACAGAGACACACACAGAGACACACACAGAGACACACACAGAGACACACAGACACACACAGACACACACAGACACACACAGACACACACAGACA